CGTGGTGGAGCAGGAGTGGCCGTGGTGGAGCAGGTGGGTCACTGAAGGAGGGCTTGGAGTTTCAAAAGCCCACACCAGGCCCAGTCTTTGTCTCTCTAACGACAACTTGTGGATCAGGTGTGAGCTCTCCGCCACTGCTCAAAAGCCACGGTGCTGCCTTCGGCCCTAGTGATCATGGACTCACCCTCTGAAACCGTAGGCAACCTCCCAGTTAATGTTTTCTTATATGAGTTCCTTGGTCATGAAGTTTTATCACATATATAGTAACCCTAAGACAATGTTTAAATCCAGAACAATTTGAATAAATTCTTTATCTTGAAATTTTCAAACTTCATTCAAACTATAAATGCCAAAATTATTCTTCTTAAGAATAAATTGTTAGCCAGGAGTGGTGGTGGCTCACACCTTTAATCCCAGCACTCAGGAGCCAGAGGCAGGCAGATTGCTAAGTCGGAGTCCAGCCTGGTCTACAGAGTGATTTCCAGGACAGCCAGGGCTACATAGAGAAATCCTGTCTGGAAAAACCTAAATAAACAAATAAGTAAAAATAAACTGTTACCCCTAATGAGGTTGGTTATCAAGAATCAAAGTATCTCCTGTTTGATGACTGTGTAAGAGGTGATTCAGGAGAAACACCTTCCTGTTAATGTCAGTCGATTCCAAGACCTCGATACAGCCACCCAAATCTTAAGTCTCCAGAACTAAACTCCTAGTGATCACAGTCATTGAACTTCTTGAATATTTTCTGCATCAGACATAATAGATAACAGTTTAAAACAAGCCACTTCAAACTTCACCCTGCCTACAACATGACTAAGCAGTACTAAGTACTTAAAAGTTGCACTCTGGGATGTTTCCACTAATAGAATGGATAAATATTAATGTTTCCCTAACATTCAGCTGCTGCTTTACAGACAGTAGTGACAGCGCAGTCACGGCTCCCAAGTTTAAGATCAATTCAAGCCGGATTATTTGAACTTGCAATAAATAGATGTATTTTCTTGGAAAAATATCTATTGTTATAGTAAAACTTGAGTTTCCTTTCTAGCAAGATTGTATGATTACTCGTTTATATTGTTCTTTCCGCAGGAATTTACACACCCCCTGTTTGCATCCTGTTATTCATTTCAGCTTCCCTTTGCTCCGCTACACAGTTTCCTTAATAGAGGGACGGCGAGACCAACCGTGGACGGCACCCTCAGGACGGTCGGAAGCTCCACATCACCTGGTCTGCACAGCACTGCTCTGTGCAAACAGGTACTAAGCTCTACTCTGACACACTGCAGGACCCCTGATTGCCCAGAGAAGATGTGTGGACGTCTTGGTTTTAAGAGATTTGTATCCCCCTCACTTTTCATCTAACTGTGCTCCTATACGGAACAGCTCAAGATACTGCTCAAAGTGTATACGCACCATTAACCCCACCCCCACACACACACACACATACACTCTTTATAATCTTCCTGAAATTTTGTATATTTTGGTTTTTCCTTTCAAAGGCAAAGCAAACAACTTTTAAAAACTAGCCCTGGGCATAGTGGAGGCCAAACTAAAACACTGTCACAACTTTTGTGGTACATTTGCTCAAATACTGATTCCTTGGTAAAAGTGACTGAATCAGCAGAGAACAAGCATTCTCTAGGAGGCATATTTTAACAAAATTTCCAGCTACATTTTATGCACACTTAAGTGTGAAACCAGTAAGATAGTCTAAAGTTAAGGATAATATAATTGATGAGGAATAATATAAATAGGTATTAAACCTTAATAAAAACCCAACTAATTAATGAGGGGCTGAAAAAATACTTTAAACAAGCCTAGCACACTACAGCTTTGCTAATAAGGCAGACTTGGGTAACAAGACACATGTCTATACATGCATGTGTGTAAACATAAATATATCTTAAGCAATCATATATCTTAAAGATAGTGATTATGTAATGCTTACCTGGCATAGTACTTAATCTAAATAGCTTCAGTGTCATCCCCTACTTTTAAACAAGGGACAATAGATATATTTTCCTCAAACATATACACATTATTTTTCACACACGCACACACACACACACACACACACACACACACACACACACACACACACCAACCATTTCTCGGAGTTGAGACAGAGGCCCCCTGCCCTGGACATGCAACTCTCCAAAAGCGGAGATACCTCCCAGGTCAGGGACGAGTGAGGGGATCGGGTGCAGCAGCGAGCCCGGGGTGCATGCAGACACTGAGGTTCAGGTACAGAGCCATGGCACAAGTGCAAGGTTACACAGCGGTGGCTCCAAAGTGGTCGCAGGTATCTGCCCTCAGTCAGTGACCGATCCTGCAGGTCCAGGGTTCCTAACAGGCCCCGTCGGTGCTGATGCTGCTCGTCTGGAGACGGCACTTTTAAGAGCCAGGGATGAGCACAAGTTCTCCAGACTTTGCAGGGAGGGCAGGGACAGAACTACAGTTAGAAACAATAAAAGGAATCAAGAAGCCTGGGCTCAGCCTTAGCTCTACCAAGAGGAGGCTACACAGACAAGGACGCTCAGACACACCACTGAGCACTGCACAAGGAGCCAGGATGAAGGGTGGAGTAGATGGAACTGCTACGAAACTATACAATCTCACTACCTTAGGAGTCAGTGTGCACTGCAGATCACATGATATCACTACTGTAGGGGTCAGTGTGCACTGCAGATCACATGATATCACTACTGTAGGGGTCAGTGTGCACTGCAGATCACATGGGATCACTACTGTGGGACTCAGTGTGCACTGCAGATCTCATGGAATCACTGTTGTAGGGGTCAGTGTGCACTGCAGATCACATGATATCACTACTGTGGGACTCAGTGTGCACTGCAGATCACATGGAATCACTACTGAGGGACTCAGTGTGCACTGCAGATCACATGAAATCACTACTGTAGGGGTCAGTGTGCACTGCAGATC